CTTCAAAGCAGAACTTCCGGGTCAAACAGAATGACTCTTCACAACTTCGGAAAGGTCTGCCAAACAACCCTCTAAATGGGTTGTACAGACAACGTTATCACTGACAAGAATTTGAGAATACCCTTTTCCCAGACCCTAACGCCAGCAATCTTCAATCTTTTCAACTTTTGACAATCTGATAAACAAACAAACAAACAAACAAAAATGGTACCTTGCTTAAATCTGCATTTCCCTCATCACTGACATAGTCGAGGATCTTTCCTTCTGTCTGTTAGTCATTTGGGTTTCTTCCCCTAAATCAGGAGTTATCACCAAACACAAATCAGATCATGGCCCCCATTCATGACCCCACGGTCTATAAGATGGAGTCCAACCTTTTAAATACGGCATACTTGGATCCTCTGCATAACAAGGATAATGCAAACACAGTAACACCATCAACATTTATTGGACACTCCTGAAGTCTCTGAATGCATGATCTCATTTAATCCTCACAACCAGGTAGCAACTATTATTATCCCGTTTTAGAGAAGATACTGAGGCACAGGTCCTCACGTCAATCCCTCCTCAACCCTCCACCGTACCTCGGCCATTCCCAACTACTTAGATCACTCTCCAGACTTTCCTGTCCTTGTGGGCATCCTCAGTCTGTAATGCCCTGCCCTTGGCCCGTTATTGTATGGTGAACAATAATGAATCTTTTTAGATGCAGTGCAGGAAAAGCGGCTAGAGGAATGGCATTTCAGAACAAAATACCAAATCTGGCAATGATCTTAAAGGGACATCTAGTTCTGTGTTTTACAAACCGTGAGCTGCAACTCCCATTAGTGGGTCAAGACCAGGATTTTTATTTTTATTTTTTTAAAGATTTTATTTATTTATTTATTTATTTGACAGAGAGAGAGACAGCAAGAGAAGGAACACAAGCAGCAGGGGTGGGAGAGGGAGAAGCAGGCCTCCCGCCGAGCAGGGAGCCCGATGCGGGGCTCGATCGCAGGACCCTGGGATCATGACCTGAGCCGAAGGCAGACGCTTAACGACTGAGCCACCCAGGCGCCCCATGAGACCAGGATTTTTATAAAACTGAAGTAGAACAGAATAAAAACTATCAGAGGGCAGGGAGTGAGACTCTTTACTGTTTCAAGGACACACATTGTTCTGTGAAAGCGGGGCATCCCAGGCCCCGAAGCAAAATGTATTCTTTACTGCCAAGAGAGGTCTCACCACCCAGCCATTCTTCACGCCAGAAGCATCTTTCTACAACCCTGAATCCGTCAACTCCTACTTTGAACTTTCTGTGCTTTCCTATTTCTGTTAAGATTAAAAGTAAGCAAACAAACAAGGCCTCTTGGCAGCGGCAAGGTCCTGCCCCATGGGGCGCCTGCCTCCCCTCTGGCCTCCCGTGACGGTCACGGAGTTCACTCTCAGCTTGTGAAGGTGCTACTCCCCCTGGGTCTGGAATGCTGTCCCCTTCCCCCTTATGTCCGTGAACTCCCGTTTATCCTTCCAGATTCTGTTCCAACATCACCTTCTCCCAGAAACCTCAGATTCCTAGATCAGGTCGAGGCTCCGAGTTACACACTCCAATCATGTCCTGGACCTTTTGTTTCTAGCACTTATCACAACTGTAATTAAATAATGATGTTTCACTGCCGCTGACTTCCTTAGACAGGTTCCTTCTGTGCATCTACAGCAACTCATGCAGTTTTGCTTTACTCACAGGAAGTATTCGGCCAAGATTCGTTGAAGAAAAGAATGAGTCTCCTCCCCCAAGTTCCTGTCACGAAACTTCTCGTGACACCCGTCGTTCCTCCATACGACAGCCTCCCAACCATCTCTGTAGTAATGACAGCTACCACTTCCAGAGCCCACACAATAGGCTTCGCAAGGTAAAGGCTTTTACCTAGGGAGCTCATTTTGGCCTCACCCAACCCTCAGAGAAGGGCATTCTTTTAGGCGCGGTAACAGGAAAATTTAGATAGTTGTTCAAAAATCCAGTGCAAAACTCGTAAATGGCCCAGCCAAGATCTGAACTCCAGCTATCTAAACACTATCCCAGCCCCTGCAGGACTCTATTTCATTTGTCCACACATCTGTCACCCCCCCCACCCCAACCCCCACTAGACTACGATTAGAGGCAGGAACCCAGGCACAGTCGCAGAGCCTCATTAAACATTATTTGCTAAATAATGACCAACCTGGCAGCGAGCATCACAACATCCTGAAATAACCTAGCTGGCCCCTCCCGCCATAGGAAATCTCCCTACAATTCCTGCCAGGGGGTGACTTGCTATAGCTCTCCCGGTGACCCATTCTCTCAGAGATCAACTCTAGATCAACTCGACTAATTCAATTCCATCCTGCCAGTACTTACAGAGCACCTACGACCTACCTGGGGACTGCCGAAAGGTGCTTATGTGACCAAAAGCCTGTCCCCACCTTCAGATGATCTGACCGTCTGGTTGGGGAGCCGGCCACATACTAGCTCCAGCACAACACAAGGCAGTGCAATTGGGCTATATAACCTGGCTGTGGAGAACGAGCTCCGAGGGCCCAGAGGAAGCAGCAGTGAATTCTCTAACCGTAACAGAAATCTCCAGCCACCAGGCCTGGGGAGGGGGAGGGGGGTATGTTGAATGAACCTAGTTCTGCCTTCTGCAGTGACAGGTATAATCCTCTCCACCATGACAGTCTTCAAAATAGTCAAGGATTACTATCTTGTTCTCTCCAATGTCTCTCTTTTCAAGCACACATTTCTCAAGGTTTTTTTTTTTTCTTTAAGTAATCTCTACATCCAACATGAGGCTTGAACTCATGACCCTGAAATCAAAGAGTGGCATGCTCTACCAACTGAGCCAGCCAGGTGCCCCTCTTAGGTTTTTTTGACTGGGTCTCATGACAGAATATGAATCAACATAGAAGCTTTTTCTCTTCCTCCTCCGAGCATTAACACTACCTCTAGCCTTCAAACCCAAGGCCAAGGTCAAGGTCACCTTCTCCAGCGAATTCCCTAATTACAGAGGAGTGGTATCTATTTGCATAAGAAAACACAAAATTCCCTAATAATTACAGGGGGTGGTATCTTAAAATGCATATAGTAAAAATTACTTTTGAAACCCCTTAAATTCACCCATGATGTGCATTATATCTGGTTTTCCGTATATGCAGTCTGACAGAGCTTGTTTTTCCCCAGGACTGGAATATGTTGCGTAGCTTTGGTTTAGAGCTGATAAAAGACTCTCTCCTTGACCAAACTTTAGTCGGGCTCCTCTGAACCCCCTTCTCGATTAGGCCTCAACCTTGCCCCCCACCCCTTAATGTGTCCCATCCACTGACCCAACTCTCTGCTGTTGGCTATCAGTTCCCAGCTGTCTTTGCTGTGTTGGGAGTAAAGCTTGCTTTCCCCTACTACAATAGTCTTAAAGTCTTCTCCACCAGTCTAACAAGTATCCAAGAATACATTCTGTAACAGAGCCAAAAGTAGTAGTTGACTTGTGTTCAGAGCCACGCTGCACTTATATTTTGTGAACATAGGTGAATTCAGGGATGTGAAGGGCTGATAATGTCTCAGTTGTAACTGCTCTTTCCTTAATTCTCTTTGGCAGAGAGAAGTATATTCCTTATCTCTATTATATTCCTCATGTTATCTGGCCATTTATGATAGTATATTGTATGCATGCATACACCATGCCTTATTATAGCCTCTGGCTCCCCTGGGCTCGCGTATTATTCATCTTTATATTCCCCACAGTGCCGAGCACAGGGTGAGGGCATAAACAGGTCATAATGGTTGCCCCTCTCTCAGATGCTGCTCGAGCCTGTTAATGTCCCTCTTAGAATGTGACACTCATCACTGGGGGAAAAAAAAAATCCAGATATGATCTGGTCACTACGTCCTCCCCCAACCGAAACCACACTTCTATTAACACAGTCTACCACTTCTTTGACTCTTTTAGCAGCCACACCGGCCTTCTGGTCTGTTAAAACCCAGAGCGTTTTTCAGGAGGAAAGACAGGAAGCCGACATCCCCACCACCCCGTATTTATTTGTGTAAGTCTTCACATTTATCCCTGTTAAATCGTGTCGTGGTTTTCGGCCCAAGGCTGCAGCCTGCTGATAGGTGCTTCTGAAGCACAATTCTGTGGTTTGCCAGAGAGAAGTGTCTGATTTTCACTTCGATGCTAGCCGGAAAAGGGGACCAAACAGCCCGCAGCCACAGGGGGAGAAGGGCCTCCAGGAGGCTGGCCCTGGGTCTCCATGGAGAAGCCACAGGTGCTAATGGAGGTTTGGTACGCACGTAGTTTGCGACCTTTTCTTCTTTGCCGAGCTGCCCGAGATTCTCCCTCCGACCCCGGCCCCGCTCAGCTCCCCGGGATAGCGGAGTCCCCCTGCAGCAGCCCCTCGGCAGCGGGGCGGGGGGTCCCCGCAGAGCCCGCGCCAGGGCCGGCCGCCAGCGGCAGGCAGCTCCCTCCCGCGGTCCCGCGATGCCTGGGCCCCCCTCCCGCGCTCCCCTCCCCCCACCCCGAGCGCAACCCCCCGCGCTCCCCGCCCTCCCCCCGCGAGCGGCGCGTGAGCGCGGGACCCCGCTCCCCGGCCCGGACCGCCGGTGGTGGTGGGGAGGGGGGGGCGCGGGCTGCGCGGGAGGCTCTGCGCGGGGACCGGGCGCAGGGGCCCGGCCGGGCAGAGCGGGCGGGCTCCGGGCGGCGCTGGCGGGGCGTGGGCACGGCGCGGGAGGGGAGGTCTGCGCCGCCCCGGGACCGGCTTGCGCCACTGGTGGAGCTGAGTCCCTCTGCGCCCCGGGGCGGGAAGGGTGGCCCCGCGGCGGGGGTCGTGGCGGCGAGCTGGGCCCGCGAATCTGGGCCGGGGAGTGGGCCGGCCCGTACCTGATCTTGAAATCCCAGTTATAAACGGTTCGCAGCCGCTCGCGATCTGTCTCCATGTCCAGTCCCCGATCGACCAGGAAACTCTCGAAGCACTGGCCCGTCTCCCGGAGCTGCCGGCAGCTGAACTTACTGGGCATCGCGGCGGCGGCTGCGGCCCAGGCAGGAGGGTCCGTGGAAATGAAACTGAAAGTCGCCGCCGCGGATGTAAGTTGGCGGCCCTGGGATGCGGGTGCAACAGGGGGAAGCCCCCTAACTCTGACCCCTGGTTCTGCAGGCTCCCTTCTCCCCACCAGGCTTCCCTCCTCTGTTCTTTTCCTACCTGAGCCTTCCCTTCGGTCTCTCCGTCCTATCCCCTCCCCCTCCTCCCATTAACTCTTTCCTAAGGAGTCTGACCCCTCCCTCAGGGCCCTCCCCTTACCCCAAGCTCCCTCCCCTGGCTTCGAGCCAGAATCCGAACGTGGCTACCGCCTGGGGCCCCCCTAGCCGCCCTGGCGGACTTCCGAGCCTTAGCTGGGGCTACTCCCACGCCCACCCCCCCGGGCCTCGGGACTTACTGAAAAGCGGGAGAGCAAAGGGCAGGGACTGGGACCTGGGTTGGCTGCCGCTGGGCTGGGACAGCTCATCCAGCACCTCCCCCAGACTGCTAGGGACAGAAACCAGTACGGAAGCGCGGCACGCCCCCCTCCCCCATTCTCCCTCCCCGGGCTTTTCAGACGCAGGGAGGAAGGCATAAGAGCCAAAGAAGTTCGGGGGAAAGAACCAAGTGTCTCTGAGATAAAGGTGTGTGTACGTGTGGGAGGGAGGGACAAGGGGCTCCGCCAGCACGAACAGTCATTACTTTTCTCAGCCGCACAGGTTTCGTTTTAGTGGAAAGGCTGGTGATCCCTGCCCTTGAGCTACGTATTTGGGCACTTAATTGCATTCCAGTCTGTATTGCTCTTTAATTGTTACGAGTATATAAGCAAGGGTTGCCCCAGTCATCAAAATATCAGCCTGCGAGCAAGAGGTTCCTCCGTGAGGCAGTAACTGGTTAATAGCTACAGCATCAGTACCAGGAAGAGAAGTAAAAAAGAGCAGCGCGCTTCAGAAGACAGACTATTAAGACAAACTAAGGGGGGGTGGGGCTCCCACGACAAACATAAAACAAGCCTCTGCATCTGTTTATGCTCCCTAATAAAACACACACACACACTAGAATGGGGCAAAGATAATAAAAGTTATATAAAAAAATGTCTTTAAACAAATATACCAGAGTTCCAAATATATCAAAGGTAGTGTTGTTCTCCAAAGTAATTCCCTGTAGGAGGCCACACACTCAATCTAACGTAGTGTGAGGAATGTCCAGCACCCAGGTCACGCTCCAGCTGGGCTACTCTTGTGCCTTTTCCCAGGCCAACAACCAACTAAAGCCAGGAATAACAGATTTTAGCAACAGGAAATGCAAAGTCAATGGGAACCAAAGCTAATGGGAAGGGGAAAACAGGGCAGGGAAGTTCTGTCTTAGAATTTGTCTTAGAAGTTGATTATGCCAAGTAGAGGAAAACACTAGAAGAGCCGATTTTACCCTTTTTCTCCGAGATTACCTGGGGAGGTTTGAGAGTAGGAAAGGGTGGAACCCCTTAAAATCGCCTTGTTACTTACCATTTCAAAAACGTACCATCGGCCACACCCACACTGAATGCCTGGCTCCTTTCTGATAAGCAGATCTAAGTCCCCATTACTTTTGGATACCTAACACGCCCTTCCTCTCTGGTTAGGCCCATCTCCTAGATGTCAAAACATGCAAATGGGTAGTGCAGTACCAACTTGAGTAAAAATGTGATGTGATGTGCCTGTGGTTACAATGAAACCTCTCTAAACCAGTTTCATCTAGAAAAGTACACTTCACGTGTTATAATTATTTTCACACATGGCTGTCTAGATGTCTAGAATGGTCTTCCTTCCCACTTTTGACATCCAGCTTAGGTCTCACTTCTTGAAACCTTCCCCAAATCCATCTGCACTTGTAAGGGTCTGACTTTAAAGTGGTTGATTTTAGTATGGGTCCAAGTAACACTGAAGGGAATCTGAAAGTTAACCTTGGCCAGCCACACTACTAGAATAAACCCATATAGCCTCCCAAGAGAACTACTTTGGAGAATATGAAAAAGCTCTGTATTTTCTTCATTACTTCTTGTTACCTCATAGTTACTTGGGTTCTACAATTCAGCATTTGAATGTTCTCTCAGTTCAGGTATTCCAGCTAGACTGTAGTCCTTAAGGCAGCTGTAAGTCGCCCTTCAACTGAATGCTGACATTGGTGAGAGGCTGTGGGAGGTACAGCTGATCCTCATTATTTGCAGATTGTCTTTGCAAGTTCACCTACTCCCTAAAGTTTATTCATCACCCCCAAATCGGTACTTGTGGTACCTTTGTAGTCATTCGTGGACATGTGCAGAGAGTGGCAAAACAAATTCGAGTTGCCCGGTGTATGTGTCCCTAGCTGAAATGAAACAAGGTAATGGTCTGCCTTCTTGTTTCAGCTCCTATTTTAAACAAACATCCTTTTCATGGTACACATTTTGCATGTTTGTCCTTTTTGTTGGTGATCTCCTTGCTTAAAATGGCCCCCATGCCTGTGTGGTGCTGCAGTGCTATCTGGGGTTCCTAAGCACAATGCCGGGATAGGCCTCACAGAGAAAATTCCTTAACCTTCGTTCAGGCATGAGTTCTATTGCTGTTGACTGGGAGTTCAATGTTAATGAATAAACAATGTATATTAAATAAGGTGATTTAAATAGAAACACATATAAAACAAGATCATGTATTGATCCGTTGACTAAAATGTTGTGGCCAGAAGTTCCCAGGAACCTAATCTTGTATTCCCCTACGAGCAGTGTTTAGTATTTGCCAACTCGGTGTTTGCTGACAACACTTCCTGTGAATAAGGAGAATCAACAGTATATTCTTATGTGTAATAGTGCTCTTTGATACATTGGATTTGAAGAGGTACGAGATTGGTTTCTGCCCTCAAAGAGCTAAGATCTACTGTCTTTTTATACATACTCTGTTCAAGGGAGAATTTTAGCTAGCTCAACTTGTCTTATGGGACCATCCGGTTTTGTTCTGTATTTACCAATCCTCCTTTCTTTGATTTCCCAAGCAGTAGGCACCTTGGTAGTTTTATGTAAGATTATAAAATTATAAATGGACATTCAGATACGTGTCAGTCTTTTGTGAGTTTGGAGAAAATGTGCCAAGGTTTGCCAAGCATCTCCCAAACCTAGATGAGTCCAGCATCAAAATTCTAGATTATAAAAGAGAACAGGCACTGGAAACTGGGCGACTAACAGCAGCACAACCACCCAGGCTCAAATGAAACAAATAGTTTTCAGCAGTGTAATTTCAAATCCAAATATAGGAGTGAGGCCTCACAGAAAACTGCTTTCCATCTGGCTGAGAAACCTTTGCCCTAGGACCCCACAGGCTGATTGCAGCAGTGCACTGATAAAATGAACACAATTCAAGCAAATATTCTGCTGAAGGTTAAGGAAGTCGGGTCTCTGCAGGACTTGGCAAGAAGTGCTGACTTCCTCCCAATTATACAAGTAACCAAGGGCTTCAGATGGCCAAGAGATTAAGAGTTTTTACAAAAGTCTATGGGCTAGGGAAATGGATGGGATAGGCTGGGGACAGGCTGATGGAGTTAAAGGCAAGAACATTCGAATCTGTTTGCGGTACAAGTACAGAGTGTAGTACAACAGACGTTCCCCCTAAAAGGTGGGAATTTGATCTCGCCTTAGATGGAATGTGAATCACTGCAACTCCTCGGGTTCTCTCTTAGGAACCAGGATAAAAACCTTTCTCTCATGTCTGTAGCGAAGTCCAATTTGCACGGAAGGGAAGCTGTATTTAGAGTTAAGTCAATGTGAAATATCACCCAAGGTCAGGGATTCTTTCATTTCTACTTCCTGCCTAGTGACCACAGCCATACTTGGGCCTTGCTTTCTCAATGACAGAGAAGATAACTAGAAATGGAAAACAAAAACAAAAACTTTGGGGTGCCTGGCTGGCTCAGTTGGTAGAGCAATGCAACTCTTGATCTTGGGGTTGTGAGTTTGAGCCCATGTTGGGAGTAGAGATTACTTAAAAATAAAATCTTAAAGAAAAAAACCAAAAAACCTGTGAACCATCCGTAGCCTCTGGGCGAAGAGCAGTATTATCCATAGAGACAATGCTCAAATAAAAAAAAAAAAAGAGCTGTTCTTTCCAAGTGTTTGGATAATCGCTGAATATGTAATAGGTAGGAACCAATTTCGGAAACCCTGAACATTCTCATCAAATAAGACCAAACACGGTTCTATCTTACCTTGAGAACAAAAACTGAAGAGATGGATTGAAAAGGAGAGACTCAGACAATTTAAGAACAAAACAGGTATATTTCTATTGGACTACCTGATACAGAGGATAGTGTGATATGAATGGATAGTATGAATGACACATAATACAAATATATTTTATTTGAAATAAACAAAAATGCTTACACAGCTCAACAGGTCACTTGGAAACAAACTTGCTTGACTGTATTACTGAGCAAAAACAAAGCTGAAGCACAAACACCCTTCTTTTTTGACATTTATTTGGAGATAGGTAGGAAGACACTACTTGGTTTTTTAAAAACTGACCTTCCCTTAAGGCCTGGTCATAGAAGTGTAAACAATGTAAATGAATCCACCAATACCAGTTGTCATATCATATCTATGTCACCTGTGTATTCTGAGATCACACATATACCTGCCAATATACCTGGGAAGGGTTGCTATATCACAGTTACATTTTCTTGGCAGGCAGAACTGAGGAAGAGTAATTTGGAACAAGTTTTACATTACATCCTATTTAGAACAAATCACTAGTATTCCCTTAAATAACAGGTTACAATAGAAAGATACTGCCTGGAACGTATCCTTTTCACTTTGGTTCATTTTTAGTTTTTGTTTGTGATTTACATAGTTGTTTGATTCATCGGCTTATAGTACAATCCTGCCACAAAGTATTAAAGCACAAGATACCTATTATTCCTTCAACATCTGCATTTTTCAAGTTTTATACTCTATTACATCCCTAGTATGTCAGCAGTTCTTGAATAATAAAAAATAATAAATGGGTAAAACCCTTCTAAAAATGCAGATGTCTGTAACTATAATGGTACTAGATGGGAAGGAGAC